GTGAAAGTGAAATGCGAACAATTTTGTGATTATTCAGGAGAAATTAGTAGGAGACGGTGGGATTAAATGGATACTTTGAACCCTTTTCAAAATGTTGATGTCTTATTGAAGTGTTGATGAAATAGATTTTTTTTTTAAATTAAAGTACAGTCAGCCTATTTGTAATGAGCTTAGACTGAGCTCAATCGATAAAATTGCTTCTTGGTTATAAATATTGAAACAAGAAGTCAGAAGAATCCATTCTACCCAATGGTTCCCTAATATTTTTAAAAACAAAAAAAAAACAAAAACAAATGTTTTCAAAAAGAATTCTTTGTGAACATTTTGTTCGACTATTCCTATAAGGAAATCAATTCATCTCTCCAAAAAATACAATCCACATAGGAATCATCAGAGCAAAAATTTAATGAGGAACCAAATCAAGTCAGAAAATTATTAATAGGTGATTAAAATTTGAAATTCGGTGGAGACAATAAATCTGGAGTAGAACTGCTTATTTCCCTCCAATTGCTGATTCAAAAAATGTTTTATCTTATGAAAAATGAATGAGTTAAATTGAACTGAAAAGAACAAATTTCACCGGATTTAAAAATAGTCCTTGCTTATTTTGGAAAAAATGATGAAATCTGCCTAAAAACACAAAAACAAAGGTTTTTGTAAAAAGACTGGGCCAAGAAAATGTTTTGTTTGATTCCTACTGGGAAGTCTAATTTTTTGAAAAATACATAGAAATAAAAAAGGAAGCCAAGTCAGGAATTTTCAATAAATGGTGATAGTGCACAATCAGGTTTCTATAAGAAAAATAGTACTCAATGGAATAAATATTCTAAAAAAATTCCCCATGAAATAAAAAATCAGTAGGAGCAGGACTAACGTTCTTAGCGCGGAGTTTTTCAACTCACTGTCTATCAATCTAATCCTCCATCCTTTGATTCGCGCCAATGAGGTTGGTCCTGCTCCTACTGATTTTTTATTTCATGGAGAATTTTTTTAGAATACTTATTCCATTGAGTGCTATTTTTCTTACAGAAACCTGATTGTGCACTATCACCATTTACTGAAAATTCCTGACTTGGCTTCCTTTTTTATTTCTATGTATTTTTCAAAAATTTCGACTTCCCAGTAGGAATCAAACAAAACTTTTTCTTGGCCCAGTCTTTTTAGAAAAACATTTGTTTTTGTGTTTTTACCCGTCTTTGTTGGGGTCAGTTGGTGAAAATGCTCGGTACGTCATTCGCCTTCAGCACCTTCTTATTATTCGTCTACTCTCACTGATCATCATCGAAGTGTCCCTGTTATTACATAATTAGCAATCAAATGAAAAAGAGTGAAACATGGGGAAATTTTTCACTTACGCACCTCACACAAATAACAATCTTTCTTTGATACCTTGGTAATAAATCACCGCTTCTTTCTAGGCATTCTTGTCGTTTATCCCTTTTTTTTATCATTGGGAAGTGAGAAAAAACGATAATTATCCCTCGAGGATGATTTACAATTCGTAATTGCACACGATCTAACCATTTTACTGTAATCAATTCTCATAGATTGTTAAGATCTATGCTAGTACATTTTGGAGCAGATAAAAATAAAGAACTTTCCCGAACTCGTATCATAACATCCGCCAACCCGCGAAAAATAAATATATTTTCGCATTTCTCAAAAATTCATCTTCATTTTAATTTTTATCTTCGTATAATAAACAATGATTTTTCTTTCAATTTTAATAATTATTTTTAGAAAAATAGGGACAGACTCGCATTGAATAAGATGAGACATTGTTGAATATATCAAAATCTTCGTATTAATGAATGATGGAATGGAACATTGGCTGTTCACGAAATAATACACAAGAAACAATAGATATTTCAGCATTATTATTTTTATTCTCATTTCATCCACGAAAGCTCATCTTTCTCCCGTCATTTCCGCTGAAAATGTGAATTTCATAACGTTCCCTCCAGCAGAATCGTTGCTAGTGGTAGGAGACTAAAGGAAATAAGGGGAAGTGTAAGTCGACCGAAACGCCGCACCTGGGACTCCAGCGAACTTGTCCCCTATTTTCTGGCTTCATAATACCTGCCTCTATCATACCTTAGAAGTTCACTCGCAGTAATGTGCTTTTATGCAATTGAATTGTGAACTTGCATTAAATCCGCACAAAAGTATTGCACACATACTATTGTCAACCGTTCACATTTGCGCACGGATCTAACTCTACAGAACCTTTCAACATATGGAAATTGATACGCTCGTCAAGTCCACAGTCACATTCTCCGCAGGACAGAATAAGTAATGGTATCTACACATGGCGCGTTTCAAATTCCTCAATGTGTAGTTCCAACAATATACTAAAACATGTGAAATTTTATAAAACAACTGAATTCCCTACGGTTCAGATGTACAGTTTCATAAAATATATAATATCGGATGTTGTTCAGTCTACACATTGTGGAATTTGAAATGCGCAATATGTATTGTAAAGGATTTTTGCCGGTGCTCCACCAGCAAATATCCCAAACTATTTTGGGCATCTCCTCTATCGCTCAATTAAGTCGGGCGCCAGCTGGATTTTCACGGAAAATCCAACGGTAAGCCGGCCTCAAAGGATAACTCGTCTACCCTGAGGACTTTTCGTGGCGGGGCTAACAATGCCGAGCCAGCATCAGCGTAAAACGGTAGAGTGGGCGAGGTTCACCATACTAAGAGTATTTCACTCGATCGATCCTCGTCTCTTCAGCCGAGGGACTTCGATTAAGCGTATCTTCCAGGAGCCATTCCTCCATGTATCTTTCGCCGAGGATGTTTCCATTCCTCTGACGTATTCCTTTCCTCTCCAGAGTGGCTCAACTCTGGAGAAGTCGACCATCACTTGCGAATCCTTCTCACTCCTCGGAGCGCCGAACACTGAGAGGCACATGCGACACAGGTATCCGGAGACTTGTTCTCACCCACCTGTGCCCACCCCAACTCAACCTCAATGCTCGGTAAAAGCACTATCATCGCGGGCCAACACCCAGAGTACTCGTCGTGGAGGTACGTGCGATCGGGTCTCCAGGAGTCGGCCTACTCCCGGCCCACGGATCCACGCCAACACCACTTCTTTTGTCCGAAGTGATGGATCTCTGAGGATATGGAATTAAAACACTCCACGTCCACAAAGTAATCCGATCCTTCTGTTTGGGACGCCGAACCGTCCCATTCTCTCGCTGTTCCGGACCTCGTCCTCACAACGGACCCCCATAATCCATAATGGACTAATGCCACTTTCAACCGTCATCGAGGACTGGACGATTTACATCCGCTCGACTCCAGTGCCTGTCACCGACTGTCTCGAAATCTCCTAGGGCCTTCTCCCCCTAGTCTGAAGCTCGACGGCAATCGAGGGGGCGCTAGTCCTCTCACCTAGCCGTTGGTCCCTAGTCTAAGTCGATAGCGCCTCTAGAATCGCCCAGTTGGAACGCCAGTACGTTGGCCGGTTTCCCCCAAACACAGCTGGGCGAGTTTCTAGATAAGGCGACAGGGTATCGACAGCCTCTCTATAATGTTCAGAAGCATGGTTTCACCCAAACCACGCCTCTTGGCATTATTTGATTGGTCTATTCACCTCACGCGCAGTTCACTTAAACCGCCGTTCGATGTCACTCTCATCTCTCGCTCAGCTTCTTCAGCTGGCATTAGATGTCGCTCTCTCTCTCTGTCCCTCACTCTAACCATTTTTCACTCATGGGTTTTCGTGTTGGTAAAACAGTTTACCGTAACGAGAAAATCTCGTTACAGTATATATGATTACTTATCCTATAATGTGGATAATACGATTGTGCACTTGATGAGCGTATCCATTTCCATTTATTGAAAGGCTCTGTGGAATTGGATGCATGTACAATTTTAAAAGGATGACAATAGTATGTGTGCAAATACTTTAGTACGGACTTAATGTAATTGTAGCGCACAATTCATTTGTGTAAAATTTTTTGTGTATTTAAGGAGAGTGGAAACAAGCATGTGTACTTTCAATCGCGTGCCAATATTTCATGTGAACAATTGGAGGTAGACAAAGTTGCCGCGCACATTGCTGTTTGTGGACTTCAAAGCGGTGCTCTGCCCTCTTGTGGAGAAAATGTGTGGTCTCAAGTGGATGTGGGCATTTAGTCTCTGACCCAACTTTTTTTCTGCCCATGATCAATACTGGCATGTACATTTGGGCCCATGAGCAAATGATCCCGTGCAGTTCCGTTTTTCTGACCACTCATGCCGTACACTATGGCGCCTCGTGTACACAAGATACGTGTGGACTGTTGTACATGGACGAATGTAGCCCCCCATTGTCGTGGGGGGTAAAAATGGAGATATCAAATTAAAATTTGGTACAATTATAGCTCTTATAATATTGAAGGATGGGCACAATATTTTGGATTGGCACAATCGGCGGAGTGGTTGTGGAGATATTTAACCTTTTGTATCTTCCTTGCATTCATCCTGTAGAATGTGGTTGCCGTTACAGAAACAGGGAATTACTATGGATCTGTTCGGAAGTTTACTACCAATGGAATTAATAAAATTAAAAAAAGCCTAATAACGCATTCGTTCGGATAGGCTGCAACCCGTGCTTGTTTTTGTTTGAAATCTTCAACAAAAATCATTAGTAAGATGTTACTAATGATTAGTAAGTGATTACTCATTCAACATTAGTGAGTTACTAAATATAAGTAACACGATGAAAATTTGTGCGTTAATTATACTCATTTCCCCGCAGTGGTTGACTGCATTTTGATGGTTAGATGGTTAATAAGCATAGTGCTGAAAATCAAATCCAAAAATGGGTGTCTGGCACCTCTTTGTTAAGGATTAGTTTTCTGCAGGATCCTATAGATTCCTCTCCATTTCATCTATGTGTATTCACTCACCGCCGGTTCATTCTTAATCGCTTCATCATTTCAATATCAATTCTTCATCTTCTTATAAAATTTTTTTTTTCAGATCTTCATCATTATCTCTCAACCCCTATGTAAAAATGTGGCAGCCTCGCAGACTCTTGAAGCTCACAGCCCTGGGGGCAGTCTCCATAGGCACCTTTGCTTCCCTCCGCAGCAACGAGTACGACATTGGCTCCATCGGTATCGTCCGCCTCTCACGAGCCGCATACTCAGTCTTCGTTATTGGCTCGCATTACCAGAAAACCGTCTACTCCAGCTCTCTCCCAAAGGACTCACCAGAATATCTTAAACTCAAATCCTCAGCCCATTCATTCGGTGCAGCTCGTCTCTTGGAACTTTGCTGCGCTAACAAAGGTGTCTATATCAAAGTGGGCCAACATGTTGGTGCCTTGGACTACCTCCTCCCTAAGGAGTACGTCCAGACATTGAAAATACTCCATAGTAAGGCCCCGCAATCCTCTTTCAACGACGTCCTCATAGTCCTGAAAGAAGACTTCAAACAAAACCCTTATGACATCTTTGCCTCGATCGACCCTGAGCCCCTTGGGGCTGCCTCTCTTGCACAGGTTCACCGAGCTGTTCTCAAGGACGGGGAAACAGTTGCCATCAAAGTTCAGCATAGATCAGTGAAGACAAACTCTTACGTTGATATTAAGACCATGGCTGCATTGGTGAAAATCTGTTCCTGGGTATTTCCGGAGTTCAAATTCGACTGGCTTGTTGATGAAACTAAGAAGAACATCCCTAGAGAACTAAACTTTTATCATGAGGGGCAGAATGCTGAGAAGGTTTGTTGGAATCTAATCAAGGCCAGACCGCCGGGCAATTTGGATATCCTGCACTTAAAATCCCATCCCAAATTGAAATTGATACAGGATGACCTCAGCACTTTGCTCACAAATTGCAGGCGGATGTAGAATGAAAAATTAGCAATTCAATAACACAAAAGTTATTAAATTCTGATAAGACTTTTAAATGGTAAACGTTAGAATTCTTCAACCCTTCAGCCAATAATGTTGTGCTTCACTGTCGCCATAGCAGTGGGACTTGATATAATATTTAGGGTGAGTTTTCGGTTCAATTTAACCACGGTTCACTCATGGTTAAAGTCAAGTTACCTCCCCCCCCCTCCCCACCACTGACCCCAACCAATCAGAGATCTTAAAGGGGGATCCTGGTGATATTTGAAAGTCTTCGGTTGATGAAAATAACGATCGAGCGTACACAAGAAACTAAGAAAAATTTCGTACTAAACTTATTTTACACCACACGTGAGTCGAAAATGTTTTTCGCATTTTTGGGTTTGAAATGCTAATCGCACTACAATTTTCATCCGATTCAAACTTTTTTAAAAAAATATTCATTACGTTCCACAATAAAACTATGTTTTTTTTCGATTATCTCAATTAGATCATAGAAAAGATGATTTTTTTCGGTTTATTCATTTTGGCTTCCGAATGGAAGCATTGCAATCCTTCGATTTTTACATTCTCTAATTTTGGTTGGAAATGATGTACAATAGTCTGAAAGATAAAAATACGAAGTTTGGCGACCATGTTTGTATGTGACCACGTCCGCCGTCCCCTTCCCGGTGGTCAATGTTTAGAAAATTGAGTAATTGAATGGCTAATGTAATTCCAAAAAATCTGACATTTTGAGAGATTATAGGTCTTCATGAGGATTAACTCTGTGCAAAATTTGAACTCGATCGATCTAATAGTTTTGGAGAAAAATCAATTCGTTTTTAAATCGTTTTCCGCAAATATCTTCAAACCTGGTGGACTAATTTCGATTTTTTTGTTGTCAAAATATTCTCTTCGGTGTCTTCTATCTAACTCAATTGTTTGGTGAATGACTAGGTTTAGGGTGGATGTGGGATGAAAATGTGGACGGAGATGTTGGGAAAATTACTGATGAGCCGGATTTAAAATCACACTTTATTTGTGGGATCGATCCACTTTAGTCAAAAATTTATGTACACTCTTTGATAATATATGTAATTTTTACTGGTGATAGTCTAATTTCACTGATGATTGTCTTTGCACGTTAATTTGGTGAGTCACTGAATTTAAACTGAATTTAATCAACAGAGGTGATGTACTGAACAAAGGTATCGTGACGATACTGAAACACAACTGAAGTGACTGACCCTTCCGGGTGCCGCGCTAACCTCTGCCACCGATTATCTAGTACCTTTGACGTGTGTAGGCCAAGGTGAGTTGAGTTCCTCCGTGGAGTGTCTTGCGGTGAGCTTCTTCGATGACTAGTGTAGTGAGGCGTGACTGGCGAGGCAAGATTATTGGGTGAATTTCATCTGGATTTAGCTGCGAGTTCTTGAGGCGTCCCCCAAGTCTCATGATCCTTTCGTTGTCTAGTGTTGGTATCCGCTTGGCTAGTTGGTTTCTCGGTAGTTGGTGGTTTTTCTGAAGTACTCGAATAGCTGGCCCAAAGTATTGACGTTGGGTTATCTTTATCCAAAATAACCTCGCGTCGTTGAGTTCTCTTATTGTCAAGACAGGTCCCGGAGGCGTTGGCTGCCTCCTGAATCTGTCGATAGATCTGTTGACCGTAGCTGTTACGGCTAGTAATTTAGCCATCGTCTGATACCTGTTGATTACCTCTGCAATTTCGTTGATTTTAATTGCAACTGGATGTGCTGGTGCTGGTTTTGCTTCTCTGGCTACCTCTGGGATGTCCATAGCTGGAACATCGATTGATGATTGTGGCCATTTTTCAAGATCCTGATTGATCCATTCAGGTCCTGACCACCACAGTTGATGATCTGCTAGCTTGCTCGGTGATATGCCTCTAGAGGCACAATCAGCTGGATTCTCCTTCCCACTGACATTTCTCCAGGTAGCATTCGGGAGCGTTTCCTGGATCTTGACGATCCTGTGGTGGACGAAGTCCTTCCATCTTGATGCCTGGCTCCTGATCCAAGCTAGTTTTACTGAAGAGTCAGACCAGAGATAGGTGTCTACCTGGTCGAGTTGGAGCATTTGCTTCGTTGATACCACTAGCTAAGTCAGTAGAAGAGCCGCTGTGAGCTCTAGACGAGGGATGGTCAGGGATGGTCGAGTAGTGCTACCTTCGTCTTCGCGCATGCCAGCACTGTTGATGTCGAATCGTTGATGGTTTTGGTGGGAATATACACCACTGCGCTCATAGCTAGCGTCTGCAAATCCATGGATTTGGATGTTGAGTATCTCTGTTGAAATTCTCATCCATCTAGGTACAGTTACTCTGTCTAGGTCATTCAGGTTCTCTCGGAATGTCTTTCAGCGTTGAACGTACTCGCCTGGGAGAGGATCATCCCATTTTAATTTCAATCTCCAATGATCTTGTAGGAGAATATTTCCCTGGACGACAACTGGTGCGATAAATCCCAGTGGATCAAAGATCTGGGCTATTTCAGAAGAGACTACTCTCTTGGTGATTGTCATCGTATTGAAATCCTTTGGTTTGTACCTGAATGTGTCAGTGGATTGATTCCAACACAATCTAAGTACCTTGGTGACTGACTCCTCGAACTGAATAATTTCTTCTTCAGTTGATAGGCCCAACTCATGCAGGGCCTCTGGACAATTGCTGCTTCACTTCTGTAGAGAGAAGCCTCCTGTATGGCAAAGCCCTTATAGTTGCGTTGCGACCTCCTTGAGACCGTCTTCTGCCTCTGCACCGCCGTAAAAGTCGTCAACGTAACGACTTATGGTGAGTATCTCTACTGCTGCTGGGAAGCGGTGCCCTTCATCTTCTGTTAGTTATTGAAGAACTCGTAACGACAACCATGGAGAACAATTTAGCCCATAGGTTTATTATTTGACATTATTTCGATTGCTTTTTATATTCCTTTTAAAAAACCTCCACTTTACGGCCATTGAGTGATCATGCAACCAGTTAATAAATTGAATAGAATGAAAAGGCAAAAGAAGAATTTAAAAATCTTTTCATCCCGAAATGACTACGTTTCGGACACTATATGTGTCCATCTTCAGGGCTAAATTTATTGTTCATGATCCTAGTGATGGAAAGGATCAAGCAGAACACATAAAATCCAACAATTCGTTGACAATAACAGCATCATCTGTCAACGCTCTTCATAACTGTTGGATCAATAAAAATTGTCGAAGAGCAAATTCGCCAATTGCTCTTCGACAATTTTTATTGATCCAACAGTTATGATAGAATTTTTCTATAGAATTTTTTCATACTTAAAAAACCGAAAACTCCGGCTACGTTTTCGCTTGATTTACGAGGTAAAATGGGTAGCGCATGAAATTATTTTTAGTTTTTTGTTACTCTATGATATATTTAAAGTCGCTCGATAGTTATTTTCATCAACTGAAATTTCACCAGGGTTCCCCCTTCAACCCGGATTCAACTTTTACACCGGTCTAACCATGGTTAGCTAAACCAAAAACTGGCCCTTAATGTTTTTCATGTTGTTAAAATTATTGTTGTAATTATTGCAGTTAATATTCCGCAGTTATACGATATATTGCCATGTTATGATTCACCAAATCATTGAATAATTTCAAAGCTCACTATTCAAAAGTTTATTATTGTAATTTAATAAGTTTTGTCATTGGGTATTCAATAAATTGTTCTGAAACAATTTACATAGGATGCAACTTCAGCCTAGTTCAGAACTTTAGTAACCGTTTGCATATTGCTAATCATCTCTAACTCGTTTTATTTAGCTTTCGTGATGATGAAAATTCGGTTCCAATGATTTTTCGTTATTCGTTTCATTTTCATATTTTTCCAATTTTCGATAGAAATGTTTTTTCTTGAAAGATAGTGTTACTTATATTCCCTAGAAACGATTGAAATAAAACGTTTTGTAAGTGAGGTTTTTCAACAGAAATAAGGGTGATTTTTCATTTCTGTTCATTGTGTAAGTTAACGTTAGCTTCATGTCCCCGCTAACGTTAGCTTAATGTGTTCACTGAATGCTGGCGGGCAAATTTGCAATACTAAACGCGTATCGATAATTGATTATTCAAAATATTAATCAAAAACAATGAATTGATAATTCATTTTATGATATTCGATATTTTCACAATTGTGCATTATTGAGTCAGCACTTAGAGTGGTGAGAAAAAAGTTGATATGAAAGTTCAGAAGTCGATATTGGTTGAAGGAGAAAAAAGAAGGGTAAGGGGAAAAATGTTGAATTTTTGGATTAGTATAAACGACATTTTTTTTCTGTGTGCCTGAATGTTTCGTACAAATTGGCCGTGAACGCGTGCAAAGTAACAATATAGTCCAGTCAAGGAAGGTCAGAAAAATATGTTTTCAGCTGCCAGGCTGCATTTTGGCATGAAAATCAATTGCCGAGCTCTGATCAAAATTTTAATTCAATTAGGGTACCCACCCTCCGGGATGGCGTCGAAAAAACTGAAAATTCTGCTAAAAAAGAGTTTTTTCGAAATAACTCGAAAAGTACTCGAGATCTGATCTAAAACATAGTAAACAAAAGTGTAGAGCACAAATGTCTCTAAAAAAAAACTCCCGACCGCTTCACCCCTATTTATTGACGATTATGGAAGACTGTTACAGGATAGTACACGAGAATAAAAGACTGAGAATGACGAGAATAATAGACTGGACTTATAGTTGTAATAAGACGTCTTTACTGTTCGCTGTATTACAGACGACTGACTTACAGAGCAATGTATTAATCACTTGATAGACTGACCCGATATATATATTGTAAGGATATTTTCCCGGGTTGTTCACTCAGGAAAAATCCAAACTACTTTATTGCCGTCTCTATCACTCGTAT